CAACTTAATAGGGAGTAACGCGGATCTTCGAAAGTATTTCTCCTCCATCATAAGGAACATATAACCTAGATAGGAAAGGCCAAGTAGGGGGACCCTTAATTTTTTTAGATCGAGGGGGCTACTCCGATCTCCCCCCTAAAGACCAGCTCTATTGGCCGCCCGCTACATATAATAGACTAACCCTTAATAGCTATGCATAGATAAGGCGCTTACACTCTTCTAGACCCACACGCGACCGTAAAGTCGGATTTTAAGCTCTAGCTAATAGCGTATAAGAGCCCCTAAACGCTTGTTCGGATGGAACGGCTCTATAGAATATTATAAAAGTTATAATATGCTATAGCTACGATTTTTCTCTATTTTATAGTATATATATCGTTATAGTTTAGCTTTTATTCAAGCTACTAGAGTAGTTATAAGACTCTAACCCTTATAACTCCTATAAATAATATTAATAAGTAAATTATCGTTATTTCCTCTAATATTACTTATTAAGACTCTATTACGTATTTAGTAATATCTTATTATACCTCTTTAATAGTTAAGACTTATAACTAAGACGTAATTATCCTCGATTTAAATAATAATATTAATATATTTAATAACCTCGCCTAGTTCTTAATATATATTAAGAATACTTTACTTCCTAAGATTAACGTAGCTAATAATTAAGCTATTAAGCCCCTTAGTATTAAGAGTATATTCTTCTAAGTCTAGGACTCTATAGATCCTATTAAGGCTATCGACTAGATTATTTATAATACTAGATATCTCCCTAGAAGCCCTATAAACTTATTATCGCTAAGCCTTCTTAGTTATTTAAGGATTAAATACGATTTCTATATTAAGTCTATAATATATATTATTAATATTATTTAATTAATAAGAATTACTTAGGAATAGAGTATTATAGTAATATTAATTCTTACCTTTATTAACCTTCCTATTAAGATTATTTATAATATAGCTATTATTATAATAAAGTCTAAGAAGGTAACTCCTTTCTATATTATATATAAATACTTTCTTTATATTAGAAAATAATATATTATCGATATTTATATAAAAATTAATATCTTCTTCGATTATTAAGAAATACGTAACTTTAATTATAAGGCCTATTACTTAGCTAAGAGTATTAAGGTCGTAAATCGCTCTATTACCTATTAATCCTTAGCCCCTAGCTACGAGGTCTTTATAGATCTTATTAACTATAAGCCCTTAAGTTTTAAGGATAGCTTTTATTATACTTTCTATATTATTAATCGCTATAATAGCTTCTATTAAATTTACTTTATAAAGACTAAGACTAAATAGGAGACTTATTTCTATATTAAAAGGTTTATTTATTATTTTAAGGCCCCTATTAGCTTATTTATTATCTCTATTACTTATAATAAAGGTAGCGAATTTAATAACCTTAACGTTAAGATAATATTAGCTAAGGAGGGCGCTTTATTCCGTCTATCTATACTTAATACCCTAGCTTAGAATAGCTTTATAGAATATACTAATCGTAGTATTTTAGAAGCTATTTATATTATTATTATAATAGGATTACTTATTAATCTATAGCCTTATACTACTAAGATTATAATAGAAATTATTAATTTACTATCTATATTATCGAACCCTTATAATAAGGCTCCTCAAGAGCGTCTTACTAGCTTCCTTAGCCTTTCTAAGGAATAATAGATACCCTTCATTTAATATATATATATATATATATAGCTATATTATTTATATATATAAGAAGGGTATTCTCTACCCCCTATATATTAATAAGATAGAAGTATAAGCCTAGAAGGGCTTCTTTATAGGATTCGATAGTCCCTATAATTATATCTTTAACGTTTATATTCCTAAGTATAATAATATTATCCGCTACGAAGATATATAATTCTTCGAGGGCTAATATAAAACTACCCTTAATCTCCTTAAGAGTATCGACAGATATAAATATAATATTATCTTTATAGATTATAATATCTCTAAATTTATTAATATCCCCTTTTATAAAGCTATTAAATAGCTTATTATTAAGTACCCTAAGGCTAAGGAAACTACTAACTGAGAGCCTCCTAAGTTATATATTTAATAGGAATTTACTCCTCCTCCTAACTATAAATTAGTCCCTCTATCGATTTAGCCTCGTCCCTTAGAGACTTAGATTTATAACTCTACTATTAACTTAGAGATAAGCTCCTCTTCTATTAACTCTATTAAGGCTAACGAAGTACTTCCTATAGAGGTAGCCTTATTATATAGGGAGTCTCTGGACCCTCTAATAGAATATATATTAACGCCTCCTTATATTATAGCGCCTCCGCCTCCTTATAGGTCTATATATAATACTCCTTATATTATAAGTTAATATACTAAAACCTATATTAATAATTATAGGAATTTTAAGGGTTAGAGTCTTATAACTACTCTAGTAGCTTAAATAAAAGCTAAACTATAACGATATATATATTATAAAATAGAGAAAAGTCGTAGCTATAGAACGGTATAATTTTTATAATATTCTATAGAGCCGTTCTATAGTAATAAGCGTTTAAGCTCTCTTATACCCTATTAGCTAGAGTTTAAATCCGACTCCACTTCCCCCGCAGGTCTAGAGGTAGTCTAAGCGCCTTATCCACGCATAGCCACTAAGGGTCAGTCTATTATATATAGAGGGCACCCCCTAGACCTATTTTTTAGGTTTTTAGATCTTAAAAAATTATCTAATTCTAACTATACTCGTAAGTCCCCCTTATATAGTAATTCCTATCTAATTTATACGTTCTTAATTATTAGGAATAGATACTTTCTAAGATACGCCTTACTCCTATTAGGATTAATTTAAGTACTTCTCTTAGTTAATTATAACCTTCTTCTAATTACCCCTCGACCTACTTATTTTCGATCTAAATAAAAAATATACTATTTTATAGCTCTCTTTAAGGGCTATAAGAATCTTCGATCTATTGCTCGACCCGACATCTCCTTCTAGAGATATAGCTATTTTTATCTCTCCCTTCCTCTTATCTATTATTATCTCTTTATTCTATAACTAAGCTATACCCTCGATCGTTGCCTAATACCTCCTATATCGATTATATAATATAAAATATTATTAATAAATAGCTAGAATACTCTAATAATTACCTTTAACCTTCTTAATACTATATATACTCGCTATATCGATATTCGATATAAATAGGTTTAAGAATATATTATTATAAACGATTTTAAGCTTCGCTATATACTTTCCGCTAAAATGCCTATTAACGGACTTATAAAGGGCCTTAGCTTTAAGAAGTATATAGAATTTATTCGCTAATTACGCCTTATTAACGTAAACTAAATTAGCTACTATTATTATATTAATCCTAGGCTTCTAATTAGCTAGGAGATTATATTTTTAGAGTACTAGGATTAGGAAAGAGGCCTAGTATAAGGTACCTATAGGGACTCTTATAGACCTAATAGCTAATATGCCTTAGATAGTGCCTATAGGGGGGTATTAGTGGTATTCGCCTAGGGCTTCCAGCGGTCACCTGATGCCAGGTGGCCTGTGCCCTGGCGCCTCCCTCCCATAGCTTAGTTCCAGGCACCCTCCTGCCCTAGAGAATAGCTTCCTAATACAACACCTTTCCCTTTGACCTCCAACAGTTCTCACATCCTGGATGGATAGACTCCAACGCCGCCAAACTTTATTTCAACCCAAGCTGAGGCAGCCGCACAGCACCCGTCACAAGTATTATCCATCAGCTGTCCGCCTGTCAAATGAAAACTGATAACATCGTTTGTGCCACACCCCTAGTTGAATGTCTGATTCGTGTTCCCCCTTGTCGACCAGCCAGCCATGACATTGCGACCAGAGATTGGGCCGTGAAAAACGGGGCCGCCGGGTCGGCCCGTCGCCGATCCCGACCCACCCTCGGCGGAGGTCTGCTCAGACGCCGTCCGCTTGGGAATGATCTCCAGCAAGACGGCCTTTGCATACGCCGCTGCCATGGCCGCCGCGTACGGCTGCCAGTCTTTGTTCTTGTGCTTGTCGGCGTAGTCGCACACGCCGCGGATCACGCCGACGGGGATCTGGTTCATGGTGCCGGCCGCCTCCATCTCGAGCCCGATGAGGTCGAACCTGTCACGGAGGCGATCTCTGTTGCGGGCATTCTTCATCAGCTTGTCCCCCGAGCCGATCGACCCGTACCAGACCCTGGTGCGCTGTGCCTCTGGTCTCGGTTGGCGTTATACTTCGATCGTCTCGCCTTTATCGTCAGTGTCGTAGAGCTTGTCTTTGTCCTGGCCGGGGTCGACGAATTTGCCCATTGCTTCCACCTTCTTCTGCAAGAAATCAAAATGTCGCAGGAAGATTTGGCTATCGGATGGCATGCGACGTTGGATGCTCGTGATTGCTGACCGCACGATCCTCTCCGTTTTAGCGAGCACGCGTCCGGAGTGCAACAGCTCCAGGTCTCCACCAGTGTCTTTGCCTAGGTCATAAGCGACGAGCCCCGGCTGTTCGCCATCGGCAACCGCAACGAGCACATCGCCGAGACGAATGTCTCGCGGCGGGGCTCGAGCGAGATTCGGGAGGCCCGCCGCCACCCCGACGAGAAGTCCAAACCAGATGTTAGGGAAGAACGACTTGACCTGGCTGGCAATGGCGGCCGCGGATCCTGTGCCGTATTCTTCGCCGACAGGCAGCGTGGCGATGATGATCTTGAGGCCCTGAAGATGACCTGGTAGAAAGACATAGTCATCTCCCCGCTTGTGCTCGAATCGATCGGGATACAGACCGTCGAGCATGAGAGTTGCCGCATCGGCCTCGATCGCGAGGGGAGCGATCCAAGCCACGGTGAAATCAGAGGGGTCAAGATCTGGCATTTTGTTGGAGAAACGGAGATGTTCGCGAAATTGTCAAGAATGAGGGAGAGTCTGGTGCACAGTTTATTGCACGTCCATTCAGCTTAAATACCTAGATACCTCGCCTCGCTTGCCCAATCAAGTTTCCTGATTGCAAGGTGCTGCCACACCGAAATTACAATATGAATCTTTGCCAGCCTTACCCCGCTTCTTCGCTCTTCGACGTTATTCTCTTGCCTTGCTACGTGTCGGATCATCGAGTTTTCTTCTTCAAAGTGAACGGCTTCGTTCTCTGCGCTTGGTATCATCAATAATGGACGCTGGTTTTGGACCATCGTTTGGTGGTTCGATATCCGGACGTAATGTATTTGCTGGCACGTCAGTGGCTGGCGACCTCAATGTCCGAATCAATAACATTGAGACAGTCCCTCAGCGTACTACGCCAGTCTGGATGGTTCCATTCCTTCCAGACGCAGACTTTGTTGAAAGACCGACAATCTCCAGCTGGCTTACGGAGCGCCTCGTTGCGCCGCCGTACCGTGCTGCGCTGATCGGCCTCGGCGGTATTGGGTCAGTATGCTTCCTCGTCTAGACGAGGCCATTAGACTGACCCCAACAGTAAATCACAGCTTGCCATACACCATGCTTGTCAGATCGCAAAATCGAGCGACACCCATGTCCTTTGGGTATTTGCCAGCACCGTCGAGCGATTCAAGAGCGCATACCGGAATATAGCGCGGGACTTCAGAATACCAGGCTATGATGCACAGAACGCACACGTGCTGCAAATGGTTCATAGCTGGCTGTGCGATAAAAGCCACGGAAAGTGGCTCATGATTCTTGACAACGTCGATGATGCGCGGATCTTGTCCACCAGACAAAACGACGAGGGAGAACCACTCTCTGCGTTCCTCCCTATGAGCAGCAACGGCTCCTTCATCATCACATCCCGCAGTCGAGATGCCGCGTTCGAGCTGACGGGTGACAACAAAAACATCTTCGTTGTCCCTGTCATGGACGAAGGACTAGCGCTCCAGTTGGTCCGCCGGAAGCTCGGCGACAAGGACGAGCCTGCCATATTGGCTGAGCTGGTTAAGGAACTCGGAGGGGTACCGCTCGCGATTACACAGGCTGCTGCATACATCGGCCGTCAAGCTCTCATGTCGCCGACCAAGTACCTGGATAAGCTTCGGCTTGACAGAAAGCAGAAGGCAAAGCTGCTCAATCAAGGTGCCAAGGACATGCGGAGGGACTATACCGCCCATAATTCCATCTTCGAGACATGGCAGATAACCTTTGAGCTCATCTGGGAGGAGCAAAGGTCGGCAGCCTATCTTCTTGCGTTCATGAGCTTCTTCAGTGCGCAGAACATTCCGAGCTGGATGCTACAGCACTACGTGCCAGAGCAGCCCCAAGAAGACCAGCCTCCAGCGACAGCCAGCAGCAATTCCTCCTCAGAAGCCTCACCCGTGTTCGAAGACGATTTGACCTGTCTCACGGGATACTCGCTGGTCGGGGTGGATGAGGAAAAGGACGTGCTTGACATGCACCCGATGGTCCAATTCTGCACTCAAGAGTGGCTCAAGTCAAAAGACAGGAAGCTGCCAACGCAGCGTTTATTCTTCGACACCATGTCCAGCAAGTATCCCGCCCCCCTGATAGAAAATTTCGATTTATGCCTTATGCTAGACCAACACCTGGGTCCGCTCGAAGACGAGCGGGATACAGTGGAAGACGATCTAGCAGTAAGCATGGCGAATGTCCTCGTCAAAGCGGGCTTCTTCCAAGCTCAAAAGTGTTCGCACCAGAGAGCAGTGACGATGTTACAGAAGGCTGTTGGAATACGGAGGAGGGTTCTGGGTCCCACCCACAACCTCACAGTCGAAAGTATTTATCAGGTGGGCTCATTACTGCTTATCTCGAATCAGTTTGCAGAGGCAGAGAAGAATCTACGCCTTGCACTGGAGTTGTCGAAAAAGACTCGGCCCCCGCATGACAAATTTACGCTGTTTTGCGTCATCAATCTCAATTTGTCGCTTGAAGGTCAAGGTAGGTACGAAGAGGCCGAGGAAAGTTACCGCGCAATGCTTGCATCCCTGGAGGCGAAGCCAGAATTGCACGAGATTGCGATTATATATATCCGTAACGGACTTGCTTATGGACTGTTGAAACAACAAAAATTCAGAGAAGTCGAAGAAGTAATTCGAAATGCACCCGGATTTGACCTGGACAAGTACTCCCGGCAAGAAGATGCACGCCAAAGCTTGGCAATGCTGTCGCTGGTATTGAATGAACAAGGCAAGCACCAAGAAGCGGAGGTTGTCCTCCGGAAAGCTATGCAGCACCGAGACACATTCGGCCTACAAGAGCAGCTGCGACTTTTAAGGCGGTTATGCAGTCTCGGGCTAACATTGGGTCTGCAAGACAGATTTCAAGAAGCAGAGGCCCTACTTCAAGACCTGATTGAACGACCAGAGATGGGCGTAGGTTCCAACAAGTATGCCAAAAGCATAGTCTTGCAGGGGTTCGGGGGTTTGCGAATTGCAGCAGGGGAGCGGCAGGAGGCAGAGGCCTTCTTCCGGGAGGCCCTCGAACTAGGAGAGGCGGCACTTTGTCCAGGGCATACCCTTTTGAAGCCCATACCTGATGCGATTGAAGACATCAGAATGCTGGCAGATATGGAGGCCAAGAGCGATGTAATGATGCGTATTCTGAGGAGCTTTCTTTATGAATGGTAATGTAGTACATCTTTACTAGTTGCTGTTTCGAGTCCATATACACAACTACACATCATGATTCGACCACCTTTCGTCAAAGGGTTTTGGCTCAAGGGTTCTGGCCTTCACACCGGGCCTCGCGTCAGTTCCGGTCCCTGCAGGGGTAGTCGGGCTTCTGCCACCTCACTTGGCATTGTCTTGAACATCAGACATGACATGCGAACCAGGCAATTCGGCAGCGAAGCCGAGTTTGCAGAGTATATCATAGCACAACAATGCATCCTGCAACTTCCGTCGGCGTATTCACACACTATACAGCGGACGTTCCCATGATGAAATCAACGCATGCTTCACAGCGAACACCTCTATCATGTGAACATCTTCGACAGCAGACGTCCAGCATATTAACATGCGCAACAGCAGACGTCCGTCATGGCAACACCCCCCCAGCAGACGTCATGCAACACATGAACACGTCACGACCGCTTCTGGCCGACCTCCTCGCCGCCATAATCATCGATCCAGTCCTCGCCGTCGCCGGCAATCTTGCGACCGACCCAGATGCCCACAGCCGTGGCGGCGCTGCTGACGAGGAACCAGCCCTCGAACCAGCGGTCGACAAAGGCCGGGTCGAGGGCGCTCTTGAGGGCGTCGCCGACGGCGGAGCCGACGTCGCGCGGCAGGTTGGAGCGCAGCAGCAGGGCGGCGCTGACGACGTAGACGGCGGCAATCTGGCCGGTCAGCAGGGCGAGGTTGGCCTGGGCCTGGCGCAGCAGGCCCGGGGTCCAGCGGGCGAAGAGGTGGAAGGTCTGGGTGGCGGAGCCGGCGCTGGCGGCGAGCATGACGCCGCTCAGCAGGAAGCTGATGGTGCGGGCCCAGGCGAGCTGGTCGAGCTTGGGGTCCCAGTGGCGCGCCAGCAGGCCGAGCACGCGGTTGATGGGGTCCGAGGCGCTGAAGGCGGCGGCCGGCGCGTGGGCGCGGCGCAGCGTCGTCAGCGTCGTCGCGAGGATGCGGTACACGCAGTACCAGCTGAAGAGGTGCTGCGGCACGGCGAGCAGGCGGCCGAGCGGCGTCGCGGCGCGCGCCGAGGCCGCCTGGCGCGACCGCATGAGGCCCAGGTTCGACGCGAGGTTGGCCTGCATGGTCTCAAGGCCGGCAATCTCGAGGCGCAGGCCGCGCATCTCGCTCTCGTCGCCGCCGGCGCCGGCGCCGCGGATGGTGCCGAGCATCTTGCCGACGAGACCACCGCTGCCACTGCCGCCAGAGGTCTGGGCCGTCGATGACGCTTTGCGCTCGAGCGCCTGCAGCCGGTGTCGTTTGGTGAGGAGCATTTCGTTGGCGGCCTCGAGACCGCCCTCTTTACGCGCGAGGTCGCCGTCCGTCACGGGTCTCCGTCGCTTCCTGTCGGACAAGGCGCCAAAGGTGTGCCAGGGGCTCGAGGCGGCGGCGAAGCCACTGAGCATGGCCATGAGGGAGATGCCAATGACGCCGATCCGCTCGACGCAGGCGCGCGTGAGGCCGCCGGCCTCGTCGGCATCCCGCATGCGGGCGCCGGCCGTGTCGACCTTGGCGGCGACGGGCACGAGGGCGCCGAGGCTCCAGAAGACGAAGAGCCAGGCGGCAAAGACGAGGCCCTGGATGGTCCAGGCGACCCTCAACAGGCGGCCCTTTGTGTTGCGCTGGAAGCGCCAGCCGAGGCCGGCGACGACGCTCTGGATCTCGAGAAAGGGTATGACGCCGACGAGCAGCACGAGCAGCGTGGGCACGACCAGGGCGAGGCCGAGGGCGCGGGCGCGCGGCGGCATGAGGTCGGCGACCTCGGCGAGGATGAGCTCGACGAGGACGGCGGCGAAGGCAATGGTCGAGCAGAAGGCGGCGGCGGCTACGCGGCGGCGCAGGCTCTTGCGGCCGTGCTCGGCGTGGGCCTGGCGCAGCGAGGGCGGGGCGTGGGCGGGGAGGACATTGTCGGCGCCGTCGCGGACGTCGTGGCCGCGGGTCAGGCGCGGGAAGAGGTGTCGGTGGGCGGCGAGGGCGACGAGGACAAAGGTCGCGACGAGGGGCGACAGCGACACGGAGAGGCGCAGGGTCGAGGGGCTGCGGGGATCTACGGGGGCGCACGCCGCGTCGTTGCACGAGGAGCCGAACCAGAGCATTTGCGTCGTCGGCTTGGGGGGTGGACGGGTCGGGAAGGCATGTGGTGTGTTGTCGTGGGGGGCTGTCTCAGGTACAGATCGTGGGCGTCGAGGAGGCGGATGCTGGGACCGTTTGTTACCGTCCGACCGTCATCGTTGTGAAGGGAGATGAGGTCGAGGAAAGTGGCAGGATGCGGATGCAGTTGCGGATGCAGTTGCGGATGCAGTCGCGGATGCATGCAGTTGCAGTGTGTACAGGGATGAAGTTGGCGTGTTGTCCATTGTGCATCGTCAGTCGTTAGTCGTCAGGCCAAAGTTCAGCCGCGTGTCCGAGCCGTATGCGCGTTGCTACTTGCTTAGTAAGAGCGTCCAGCCCTGACCATCATTTGACGGACACGGACGAGTATCATGGAGCAGATGATGCAGTGATGCAGTGATGCAGTGATGCAGTGATGCAGTGATGCAGTGATGCAGTGATGCAGTGATGCAGTGATGCAGTGATGCAGATATGGAGAGTTTTGCAAACGTCTGGACTACAGCAAATTCACCAGCAAGGCAAAAGACACGGCAAAGACATGGCAGACATGGCAGACCGCCAAGCTCTGCCACGCCCGTCTGAGACGAAACACCATCAGCCAGAGACAGGATCCATACGTGACTTTCATGTTCCATATGGAAGGTGTATCGCTTTCCCAAACACCCAAAAAGACCATCTGAAGACAGGCGGCAACGTGCCACGACAGACGAAGCACAAAGAACACCTTTCTCGTCCATCAAAAAATAAAAAAGACTAAAAAAACAGCAATCCGCCTGCATCCGAAACGCTTGACCGCCAACATACAAAGCTGGACCCCCCGCCCCCCCCCCTTCATCCCCGCCTGGGCCTGGATAAGCACATGCACCTGCAGAGCCACATACGGCCTGCCGCGCCTTAGCTGACACTGCTCTTCCGCGAGTGTCGCCCCTCGTCGTCGTCATCCGCATTCCCCGACTCGGCGCTCAGTCGGCGGTTCTGCTTCAGCAGCGCCGCCGCCTCGCCGACCTCCATGTCGTGCAGCTTCTCCTGCTGGTCGAGATCCAGCGCCTGCTCGCCCGGCATGGCCTCAAACTCGTCGTCGTCGCTGTCGCTGTCGCTGTCGCTGTGGCCGCCCGTCGTGCTCGGCGGCGCCGCCGCCTTGGGCACGCCGCCCACGCCGTCCGCCGCCGCCTCGGTCGGGGGCGTGTGCGTCTGCGACCCCAGCGGCGAAGGCTCCGCGTACCGGTTGCGCAGCAGCGCGCTCGGGTTCAGCGGCTTGACCGTGGGATCAAACGACGCCGGCAGCCCGAGCACCTTGGCCACCTGGTGCGCCTCCTCGTCCGCCGAGTACTTGACCTCGACCTCGTACAGGCTGCTCTTCTCGCTGTCCGCTTCGTGCTTGCCGCCCGTCGCCGAGAGCATGCGCACGTAGGTGCGCCGCTCCGTGTCGTTGAGTCGCTTGCTCTTCTTCTTCTCGCGCTTCTCCGTCGGCCGCACCACGACGACGGGGATCGGCGAGTACTGGAGGCAGTACTTGGAGAAGGAGTTTCGCGTGTTGACGAGGCCCTGCAGACCGCCGAGGGAGCGGCCGCGCGTGCCGACGATGAGCATGGCGGGCTGGTATATTTGAATCTGATGCAAGCGTGGTCAGCAAAGAGGAGACACCAGGAAGAGACCAAAAAAAAGAAAAAAAAAGGGCGCATGCGTCGTACAAGCTTCTGAAATGTCGAGTGCAGCTTGCCGCAGGCGTATTCAAGCACGACGCTGATGGCGCGATTGGCGCCGTTCTTCTCGAGAATGGCATCCATCATGGCCTGGGCGTCGTCCTGGTACGAGGCGCCGATGCTGCGCATGTCCTTGTCGACGACGCGCACGCAGACAACCTCGTCGCCGTCGTCGACCAGCTCGTCGAGCAGCCACTGCAGCGCATAGTCGGAGTAGGCGTGCTCGTCGACGCCGACCATGAAGGTGCGCGAGCGGCGCTTGGCCTGGTAGCCGCGGTGGCGGACATTGAGCGTCAGGGACGGCGTGTTGCTCTTGGTCGCTTCGCCGAGGGGTAGGTTGTCAAAGGCGACATGTGATTGGAATCTGTGCGCGGGGTTGTCGGTCAGCTCCATGGTACTGGTCGGGGGTGTGCCGGCGCTGATAGGTGACGAAAGCATGGATGCGATTGGGGTTGTGAAATGAGAAAGAGAGTTCGAGAGGAAGAACCATAAAAAAAAGAACGCGGCGTTGGAGGACGCAGCCGAGTCGATGATTGTTTGCGGCAATTCGCCAGAGGGAAGAATAGGCAAGGCAAGCCAGATGAAGGGGAAGGGGGCTGTGTGGTCTGATGATGCTTGTTGTGACTGTTGGACGCTTTGGTCGTGGTGGTCTAGGCCAGAACCGGTGTCGTGGGAATGAATGGCGGGGTACCTGGGTAGCGCACTCGAGGTCCCTAGGAGGTCCCTAAGAGTGCCTAGAAGATCTAAGGGTACCTGGGAAGGTCCTCATGAGTACCTAGGAAGGTCCTTATGAGTACCTAGAAAGGTACCTTACCTAAGGCACCTTAGGTAGGTAGGTAGGCAGGCAGGCAGAAAGGCATCGCTTGACACCGGCGCGGGCCCCTTCAGCTGCAGGCCCATTGTCTGCGGGGCGCAGCCGCTGATGAGCCCGGCCCAAGGCATGGGAAGTAGCCTGAAGGCGACGAGTGTGATCTGGGTAGGTACCAAATGAAGGGAGGGACAGATGGATGGGAGGCCCGCCATGGCAGAGACCTGACAATCACTGCCATGGCGCGAAGAGCAGTCGGGCCCAGGAGGATCGGAAGATGTCTGCGATATCCATACGACATGAAGAGACGTGCCACATGCTAAACAGTTCGGTCGATCTCCGACGGGCTGCTACCCCACGCAGCCCCAAAGCCCCCGAGCACGCAAGCACTGGGCGGCAAGGAAGCCATTCCGGGGAAAGCTTACGTAGCTCTCGACCCCACCGTACCGAGGGAGGGGGGGGGGGAGGCCGTCTAGAAGAGTAGAGAATCACAGCGAGTGTTGTAGAAAGACAAAAGAAAAGGAAACGTACCGGTTGGGCGGCGGCGAGCTCGCGCGGATCCTCGTCTTGTCCGTCTTCTTGTGCGTGCCCTGGGGCAGCGCGGGGTTTGTTGCAGCGGCGCAAAGCTCAGCGACGAGATGGACGCCTTTCGTTCGCGGCCGCCCCGTCTCGCTCGGCCCGCCCGACTCGCTCGGCCTCACCGTCGTGCCCGAGTCGATGCTGGCGCTCGAGGGGCTCTGCAGCGTAAGGTCCGGTCGCAGCGCCGCGTCCTGGCCCTGGCCCTGGCTCAGGCCCTTGATCTGGATGCGTGGCCGCTCGGGCTTGTGCGCGGCGGCTGGTGCTTGGGCTTCCGTCTCGGTGTCGCCAGCGGCGTCTGCTGGAGCCTGGGCCTCCTGGGCCTCGTGTGCATCCTGCGTGTCGGCGGGTGTCGCCAGGCTCGCGGGGACTGCGTCTGCTGGGGCTGCTGCTGCTGCCGCCTTCGGAGGCGGGAAGTAGTCGGGCGCAGCCGACGAGCCCTGGATCACTGTGCGCGGCGAAATGCCAGAGTCGGGGCTCTTGACGTCAGCGCTCTGCTGCGCGGGCAGAGGCTCCGACATGTCGGGATTCGGGGTCGGGGTCGGGGTCGGTGTCGGCACGGTAAAGGTAAAGGATCGGACGTTGCGAGGTTCGAGGGCGTACTTCAGCTGTAGATACTGGTGCACGCGGCGCCAGCGATGGAGCGTCCTCGCGCAGAGGCCGGCCGAGGGGAGCGTGGCGGCTGCGGGCGAGCCAGTGGTGGCAGTTCGACGGAGGCCTGGTGGAGGTGCTTGCGCTTGTGCTTGTGCTTGTGCTTGTGCTGGTTGTGCTTGTGCTTGTGCTGGCTGTGCTGGCTGTGCTGGCTGTGCTGGCGGTGCTGGCGGTGCTGGCGGTGCTGGCGGTGCGCGTGCTCGCGAGAAGGGCGTCTGCGAGAAGGGCGTCTGCCGTGACAATGGTGCAGAGGATTTGGTGGTGATGGGAAAGGAAGAAGAACGGAGAAGAGGAGTCACGAAAGTGGATGAAGCCCAGCTCCTCCTCTGCTTTTCGGGCGCCTTTGGTCTGCTGCCACGGTATGCATTCGGTACGGGAGGCGGCGAGCTAGGTCGCCGCGGCAGGGCCAGGGTGCGTGAGCCGTGGGTCGGTCGACCTTGGCCTTGCCTTGGGCCGTGGCTCTGGCCTTGGTTCTGGCCTTGGTTCTGGCCTTGGTTCTGGCGCTGCCTTGGGCCGTGGCCTGGCCGTTTGTCTGCATCTTCCCTCCCCGTCGTCGGCGTAGATCCCACTTCTCTGAGCATCTGAATCGCCGCCGCCGTCTGTTGTCCGACCTGAGCTGACGTGCAAGCTGACCCTTTGATCAATCGAGTCGAGACAAGTCAGAGGCAGAGGAGGCCTCGAGGCAGAGAGAGAGCAAGGGCGAACCAAGGCGGGGGGGTTGGGCCGGGCAAAGCTTGGCGACAGTGCTACGCCAAAGGCTAATAGGAACGAAAACGAGCGAGTGGTGGATGACGATCACGATGCAGCAGAACAAGAAGAAGCAGAGCAGGAAGAAGCAGAGCAGGAAGAAGCAGGAGAAGAGGGAAACCTCCCCCCCATCCACCCGGGCCCCTGAGCCCAGTTAAGACTTCACAGACGGCCCACGATCATCGTCGCTCGCTCATCTCAACCATGTACCGCCCAGAGACACGAGAGAGACCACGGACCAGAAAGATGGACGCGCAACAGGCGGAAATCTGCACCAGTGTCCAGTGTCCAGGCCACCCCTGCTCGGGACCGTCCGCCTGGCCGCCGGTGATAATTCTGGCCGCCCTCCCTCTCCCTGTCTGCTCGTCGAAGCAGCCTGGGGCCAACCTGTTGCTCGACGGCAGGGGGCCTGGACCCGGACGGTGACCCTGACCCTCAGTTGGGAGCCAAACAGAAATATCAATGGTGCCCAAAACAGCCAAGCGAAACCCTTCTGTCCGCATTGCTCATCTCGTCTGCTTCGAGGGGAGAGAGGGGGGGAGGGGGAGCCATGTCTCTGTGCTGGCCTGCCTCTCGAACAGCGGCCCATTCGTTCGGGTCCGGGGAACTGGGCTGGCCGCCGTTGTGGCATGCTCAGAAAAGTCGCCTGGCCGTGGGACCCAAATCCGCAACACGAAACGGCAATATCCAAACAGCACATGGCGCCAAGCCTGGTACGACTCATCTGTCAAGCGCCATCCTCGCCATCCTCGCCATCCTCGCCCATCCTCGCCGGCCTACATACACATGACTGCTACATCGCTCGATGGCCTCCCGTGTTGACGCCTGGTCATGACATCCCGCAGCTTATTGATCCAACGTTCCGATGATCTTGCCCACCTCGGAAGGCTGCAGCAATCTCACCAGATGCCTCAGATGCCGTAGACCCCGAGACAACCTCACAACGCCATCTCCGCCGTCACTACGCCACGTCCGAGATGCTTAAACTGCCTGCCGTGTGACCTTGTACAGTGCTTGCAGTCAGCCTCACCGCCGCCGACGTGTCCCGTCATGAAAAACCCAAAGTCGTGTCGTCAGGCCTCCCCCCCTTCCCGATAACAACCTTTTCGATTTCTCGGAAGCCCCTACAACGAATCGCCCCCCTCCCCAACCGCAACATATCTTGCCCAGTTGATGCGACGGCCGCCCCTCTGAACAGTCTCCGAGGAAAAGAAAACATGTATAAGACAGGAGACGCCGCGATCAGCCCCCTCAAGGGCCAGGTCGACGCACCCAGCTGAACCCCACGTTGCACAACGACCCTGTCGCCAGCCATCCATGTCACTTTCCTGGCTGCCGACATGGCCTGGACGTTTGTCTCGCCGCGGAGGGTTCCTACCAACGACTGCACCACGCCCGCCCGCACGTGAAATCCCTTGGCCAGAAAGGTATGGTTCCCTCCATCAGACCAGGGCGGTGAGCAGACAGACTCCTCATTCGGAAAAAAGAAGCAGCTTCCCCAGCCGCGCTTCTGCACCTCTATCTCATGGATCATGCAAGGGAGCCTGCTTCAGTGACGGCCTTTGCCCGAGGGCGGAACAGAACTATCTACCCGAGTACAAGGCAAGCAAGCCACTGGGGGAGGCGTCATGGACTGGCCCGCCCTCCCGACGTACTGTTTCTGACTCGACGTCCTCTGCTTCTGTCTTGCCTGGGTGTCAAGTCATGGCGCGGTCTGCGCAAAGAGCACCGAAGTTCGCCCGCACGATCGACCACCATCACATCAAGTCGAAATTGGATCCCGAGAAATATGTTATCACGTGTTGTTCATTTCATCACGACATCTGAGCCGTCGTAGATCAACGCATCGCCAAGCACTGCTCGCCACCTGGGCGACACGCAAACGCCAAGCCGCCAAGAGCTGAGGGTTCGAGACTTCCACGCCTTGCCTCTGAACAGAACATCACCAGCGTGTCGCCGCATGTCCCCCGTCGATCTGGCCGCTCTTTTTTTTTTTAAATAAAAAAAAACATATGGCTCAATCGAACGGGGTGGGTGGGCTTGGCGACTTGGCACCGTCCCAGAGGCACACGTATGCCACGAGCCAGACGAAGCACGGCAGCAGGCCGTCTTCTGAGACAAAGCCACCCCGGACATGAGGAGGGGAGGGGGGCCGTGAAATCCATTCTCTGCGTTACTCTTGACATAAACGTCAGTTCTCTCTCTCATTCTCTGTCTCAAGGGCCGCCAAATTTGGTTTTGTTTTGGGTAGCCCCCCCTTGCCGGCCGGTAATTCCCCTTCCCCATTTTTCCTGTCCTGGGGTGACTGTGACGCCTGAACGCCTTGACAATGCGAGCAATCCCTCCACTTCACACCTGTGGGCTCCAATGAGAGCCCCTCCGCGCGCGCGTGCCAGCCATTTTTTTTTCATTTCGGCAAACCTCTCTTTCGCAGGTCCCCTCTTTTCTCCCACCCCAGATTCTAGACCGTAAAATTCGTGCCGAGTAATCCCATGACGGCACTGATCTAAGTGTAGGTGCGCGACAGGTTGCGGAGGTACCAGTCCACCAGCTTGCGTCCGACCTTGGCCTCGGAAATGTGGATGAGGTCCTGCGGTCCTTTGTTAGCTCTCGTTCTTCCAGTGGTGCCGTCTCCGAAACGGGCTCGACTCACGTTCTGCATGGCGTAGTCGAGGTCGCTGACGTTGACGAGGTCGCCGTCGAGCAGGCTGTTCTCGGACCAGCGCAGCTGCTTGGTGCGCTGCTTGCTGACGAGGAGCCAGGCGCGGAGCTCGTCGGGCTTGACGTCGAGGAAGCCCGACAGCTTGTTGAGGTCCATGGTCGTGTACAGGCGGAGGTACGACTTGATGGTGGGGCTCCACATGTTGGTCTTGACCTCGTCCATGAAGATGGAGAGGTGGTGCTCGACCGGGTCAATGTTGGCCTCGGGGTTCTCAAAGTCGGGGGGCGTGGGCGAGATGAACTTGGGGCACGCCGTGCGGAAGAGCTCCTCGAAGATGGGGAGCGACTCGGGCCCGCCGCGCTGCAGCTTCAGGAGCTGGTCGCCGTACTTCTCGCGCAGGGCCGTGTGGATCGTGTCGTCGAGACGCGTCGGCTGGAAGGCCACGCAGATGGCGATGAGGGCGTACATCTGCTCGTTCTTCTTGGTGATCGAGTCGTACTGCGCGCTCTTCTGGAAGTTCTTGGTCCTCGATACGTAGACGAGGATGTGCTGGAGCATGCGGATGGCATCC